GAGACATTTTCAATAGGTTGGGTACTTGGTTGGAATGTTTAAAAATGTTGTAACCAATTTGGAATGACACTAAAAGGTTAGGAGTTTTAGGTACTTAATCCTAACAAATATTATATCATTTTGTAATATTATACTTGTGTGTAATATTAATTTAAATTTTTATGAACTTATAATTTACACATTGTTTTCTTAGGATACAACATGAAAATTTCTAATTATACTCAGTACTACGGTCTGATGATATTCTTCTTCGCTTGAAAGTGAAAGGTCTTAGGTTTGAATCTCATGAATGGCGAATTCGATATCAAATTTGGCTGCCCATTTTGTAGCTTAGCCAAACTCCCCCTCCCTTAGTGTAAAAATATCGATGTACTAAAAAAATAATAATAAATTAAGGAAGTTACCAATGATATTTCAATCGTTTTTAGGTTTTAAATTAGAATCAATAATTTAGTCCACTCATCCACCTTTTTAATGTATATAATATCGTTTGTTAAAAAAAATTTAAAATCAATAATAATTGGATTTAAATTCGAAACCAATGCTTATCGGATATGGATCAACAAGTCAAATCAAGGACCGGTTGTGAGGGAAGCCGAATTAGGCGTTCGCCTAGGCCCCCATTTTTTAAAAATATATATTTAAATTTTTACAATTTAAATTTAATAAAAATATTTAAAATGAAATCATAGGCAATAATATAATTTTCCACATAATTTTTTTTTTCTATTTTAGTTTTACTCTTTGAAATTTAGTTAAAATTAAAAATAAAAAAAATGCCAATCCTTTTTCTCTATGTAGCCCCACTCATTTTCTCTCTTCGTTTTTTCAAAAACTATCGCTCTTTCACATGGTAAGCATATTGATATTGATGGGAAAGACTTAGTTCTAGAGCTAAGAATCTTGAGAGAAATTTTACCAAATAAAATAAATTGGGCAATGGTATTGTTGAAATATACGAGACAAATGGATGGTTGTTTCCCGAATGCATGGGTTGCTTATAAAATTTTGTTAACCATATCAGTTACAGTTGCCTTTATATAAAGAAGTTTTTCAAAAGTTAAAATTGATTAAATCTTATCTCCGATCAACTATGTCACCAGAAAGATTGAATGGGTTAACTATTTTATCAATTGAAAAGGAATTGGTTGAAAAATTAGATTATGTAATATTCAATTAATGTTTGTATAACTTTTAATTTTTAGTCATATTTGACGTAGAAATAGATCTTTTCATGTATTTAGGGAATTCTTTTTTATACATATCAATGTACAAAGGGTCAAAGATCATAGAACTCTAGGACCTCACTTTGAAGACTCATCTAGGCTCCCAAATTCTTAGGGTCGGCCTTGGTCAAATCCAATGCTTATTGATTATGGATACAAATCCGATCCTTCTACAAGTCTAGTTGACTGCTAGTCTTCATTGGCATCACTTAACCACCAATTAGATCAAACTCAATCCTGGGCTAATTGCTATTTTTTAGGTTTTATTCCCTTCCCCCACAAAACCCAACACATGCTAAATATGTGAGCTAAAAGCTAAAAGCCAAACAAAAGCCAAATTCCCCCATGATTTAGCCCAGAAAATGGTGTGGGCACCACCGTAGGACCCCACCCACATGGGTATGTCTCTTAGGATTTATTGAATCCAAAGGCTGAGATCGAATATAATTAAATCTAACAATAAAAAAAAGATCTAACGACCAAAATTCAAATCCAATGCTTATCGATTATTAAAAAATAGCATTTAGAGCATAAACATAAAACTTTCCTAGAAGTTAGATGACATAAGCATGCTGACCCTATGGGAAAAGGATAAGAAAAAGGAAGTAGTTTTTCCTTCCTTGTATTTATAACTTGATTCTTCCTTCCTTTATATTTATAACTTGATTCTTACATCTAGATGGAATACAAACGGAACGAATATAACCCTACAATCCTAGCCTTTCATTCCATGTTATCCCCACATAACACGTCAAATGTGAAGTGGAAGTTCGTTCACATTAACGAAACTACAAACTTTACAAGTCCTTCTCAATAAATTACTTATTCTAGAAGTATTCATAAATTTTGTTTCAACAATTGGTGTTAAGTTCATCCGTGATTTGGTTTGTCACGGCTCACGAGGTAGAAAACAGTGATTCCTGTAGTTACAAAGGGTTAGTTTCTTTATTGGTCATATTTTGACACTCAAATCAAATCCAATCCCGCATATACGCTCCCACATATACGCTAATGTTTGTGTTTCCGGATGTCGCATTTCCTTGTCAGAGTCTAATAATTTTTTGGTGTCTCCGCCACAGCACTACGTCGATGTTACAAATTCACTTTGGTTGAACACATAAGCCACTGACACGGTCCATAAAGTATCATTCATGTTGCCCACCATACCATAACATGCAGGATAGTGCACGCGGTGTGATGAATTTCTCTGGAATCTCAAACTAAGTTGTCAAAAGTTGCTGTTGGAACCAGATATAAATTTATACATTAGTCGCTTGCTATACGCATATGCTTTGTTATAGTGGTACTTTTTAGATTCTAATTTCCTCATAATATAGGGTGCCTAAAGTAAAAAAGGCGCCAATAAGACTTCACTCTTTGCAAAGGTCGGAGAGATGAGACGTCTATAATACGCAATCTTACTTTTGTTTTATAAAGAGAATATGTCCACGACTCGAACCCGTGACCTTTCGGTCATAAATAAGCATATTTTTCATTGCGCCAAGGCTCGATCCCTTAAAAAAGGAGTACCTAAAGTGATTGAGAATATGATCCCAAAATTTGACGAAGTACTTTTCTCTTTAGATAAGAAACGACGGAGCAATAGGGTAAAGATGTCTGAAAAATGACTAGCTATCTGGGATTCTTACCCCAACCATGACTCCTTTATAGAATGCATATAAATACCCCCTTCTATGTTCTTTAGAAAATCACTCTCAGTTTTCACAACTTGATCTCATATTCATATTACTTGATGGAAAAGAATGGAAATAATTCTGCTGCATCAGATTCAAAGGGAGTGTGTGAGAAAATCTTCAGCGCCATCACAGTTTCTCCTGCATATCGAGCAATTCGCCGAGCCGTGCCTTTTCCACAAGAACCTAAAGCTGCCTCCCATGCTAGTAGCAGCGATGCTCCACAACCACAACCCAAGAAGTCAGCTGAATCAGCACCGGTAGTGATTCAGATTCCAATCACGTCTGAAAAAAAGAACTCTCAAGTTAAGGAGGGCAAGCATGAAGCACAGAACTCTCAAGTTGGGAATATTGAAGATCAAGGAGGATTGGATATTAACGACAGAGTTTCGAAGTATATTCGTGATACGAAGAAGAAGTTCAAATCGACGCCATCGAATATTGGTAGTTGAAAGAATGCTTCTTTTAAGCGCGAGTAGGGGATTAATCTGTTGTTTAAACGTTTGGTTTGATGGGTTTTTCTGATTGAAATACTAATGGGGTGGTCGCGGTGGTGGTGGTGGGAAGTACGTCGTGATTTCCCAATTCTGTGTGTGCATGCTGCATGCATTACTTTAAGGATTTTGCTAAATTCACGACCTAAGCACGACTGATGTTAGCATTTTTCTTAATTTTAATGCCTAATAAACTTACATTGTTTAAGTTGTCCTCTCTCTCTGCTCTCTTTATCCATCTTTAAATCTGATTACATATTTAATGCTTGAGTTGGTGTTGTTTGCCATTGAATAAGATTGCAATAAGTTGCCGTTTGATTACTCCGCACGTTTGCTTTGGCTAGCAATATGAATTGTAGTTAGCAACCGATGACGAAGCTTGTAGCTCAAATAATTAAAAGTATTTACTCGCTAATATTGCACCCGAGTCCTGCATTAGATTCTTCCCCTCCCAATATTATTTGTATATAAGAGAAGAAAAAAAGGGTAGAATTTTAGAGGGAAAAAGTCTAACAAGAATCCAAAACCATATAAAAACACCAAGTAAAACTAGAAAAAATGAGAAAAACTTGTGCAGAGATGCCCCAATCATGTCGACTGTAGGGCACCTCTCACAAAAGTGAGATTTTTTTCTTCAGTGTATTCGGAACATGACCTGATACACTAAGTACCATAATATAAGTAGGGAGGATGTTTTTATTTTTTTAAATGTCTATCTACTTGTACTATGATACTTAGTGTACCGATCATGTTCTCAATACACTAACAAATCTCTCCAACAAAAGCATAAAACTCTCATGTATTTTTTTGCTTGTTAGTCACTTGGTTTTAATTAGTGATTATTCTGTTTGTTTTTCTTTTTCTTTTGACTTATACCCAGATGGTCACTGCCACTTTTACAAAGAATGATTCCTGTGTCATCCACGATGATTCAAGCAAACTATGTTACCAAGACCACAACATAAACCTATCTTACTTTTCCCATTTTTTCTTTCTTTATTTATTCTTTCAAAGCAACTTACAATTGGATTGAATTTTTTTGTTTGTTTTTATTTGCACATTTACATTTGCATTTATTTGTATTAGTCACTAATTTTAGTTAGCAACAATACTAGGAGGTGGAATCCAACCTCCAAGTGTTGGGATGAATGCTCTTAAACAATTGGAATGCAACTGTATTGTCCGCCTAAGTTTATAAATGAGAATTCTACTTGAATTTCTAAACCAACATGTAATATTCCAAACCCAAATCTCTAAATCCAATTTGGGAATTGGGATTTGCCAAAAGAAATCTATTGAATAGATCCTACCCTGGGACGGGGAACAAGGACGGCGCAGTAGGACCTAAAAAAGAGGATGGCGCGTGCTTTGGATCTAACTGAGTCTAATACTACACTTTTTAGATAGTTATACCATCATTTATACTATCTCTTTAATAGAGATAAAATTCGTTAACGCATACAAATAATGATAAAATTATATGTTAAGAGTGATATTTTTGCTTTTAAATTTACAGAACATATGTTTGAAAACGAGTAACAAGTAAAATACAAACTCGCAAAACTTTAACTAAAAAGAAAGATCCCGTGCATGTTTGACACACATCTTGGATCGAGTTTTTCAAACTCGAAAACGATTTTAGAATTTGTATCAAGAAATTGGATTTTGCTAAGGCCGTGGGCACTTGAGCTTTCAATTCTAAATGGTTTTTGAGTTTAAAAACTGGATCCAAGATGGATCGGAAACAGGCCCGGCCGAATTTGGTACCTTTCTCAAAAGCGTTTTTCATTTTGAGAAACGGACTGGAAATGTTTTCCGCGGTTGAAAACACGTAACGCATTTTCAGAAACAGCCGTTTCCGTTTCGAAGAATTTTCAGAAACCGTTTTTTCTGCTTCTGATCGACGCGAGCCATCTGCTAGCTGCTCCCTCAGCTCTCAGCTAGTTCTCTCTCATCTGTCTTCTCCTCTGCTACCTGGGTCATCCTCCTCCAAGGTAATTTTATTCTACTTTTTTGTGATTTTCTCAGCGATTGTCTGCTGGGTTTTAATTTGTGCTCTGAAATTCGTGAAATTTATTGTGGTTTCGTAATGGGTTTGCTGAAATTTCTTCGTTCGTATGGAAAATCTGTGCATAAATTTCTTCATTCGTAATGGGTATCCTGTTTTCTGAGATGAATTCTCTGTTTTTAGGTGTATAAAACGCAATGCTTTTTAGTTGCTTACAATGTGTTTGTGAAAATTCCTCTTAGACATAAAGCCTAGAGGCCAATTTTACTTGCGGGACGACTAAAACACCCCGACAACTTATACAAAAATACTTCCAGAGCTCAATTGGGTTCGAAACTTATTGAGTTTGAAGTGTTTTTCTCCGAAGTGAATATGTTATCGAGGGTCTACTTGTGAATTTTTTAGTGAATAGTGAGCAAAATGCTGTCGATTTACTGACCGAAGATAATGCTTTTGGCGCTGATTTTATCTGTTCGACTCTCTTGTAGCGCATTTTTTGACTTGATTATACTGTGAATCAACATTTTCATGTGTGATACTGAACTATTTTTGGTGAAAATATGGTTTAATAGTTTCATTACTTAGTGAGATTCTCATTTACTAGGGAATATGGTTCATAGATTTAGTGCAATTCTCTGGAGTTTACTACTTTTCGGATTCCTTGCATGGTCGTCTAGAGTAAATAGACTATCATATTACATACTCGTTTGGGGAAGCCAATTTTCTGACCGTAAAACTAAGTTGCATTTATGTGTGCTTATCGTTAGCCAAAGATTGTTGCCGGTTGTGCATTCAACATATATAGATTCTGTGGTTGATTAAAGTTACTGATTGTGTTATTTAGAGGCATGTTCGTATTTTATATTTGGGGACTTTTTGTTTGTAAATACTCTGTTCTCTTTGACATTTGAGATTTGGTTATTTGTATTTGTCGTAGGATGAGCTCAAACCAAGATGAAGATGTCGCCAGTTGGCCAGTGACGGTCGAGAAACATTTTATTCACTTGTTGCATGAAGAGAGAAAAAAAAGGCTGAAAGGCTCAACTGTGGATAAGAATGCATGGGATGCAATAGAAGATGAGTTTTTTATCAAATTTGGCAAACGATACACACGTGAAAAATTGAAGGCAAAGTACAATCGCTTGCGCAAGATATACCGTGAGTTTGCAAAGCTTGTGGCTCATACGGGGATGTGTTGGGACCCTGAGACTGACAAGGTACATGCATCTGAAGAAGTTTGGGAGTCCTACCTTAAGGTATGTATGATTTTGTGAAATTTTACAACTGAACTGTTTTGGAGTCTTGCAATATGCTATGCAGCTCTAACTCATGTGCTAAACATGCAGAAAAACAAGTTTGCTAGTCGCTTTCGTAGAAAGGGATGCCCGGAGTATCAAGTGCTCAGAGAGATCTTCAACCACATACCTTCTACTGGACAAATGCATTCTGGATCCACTGCATCTCCTCCAAACTCTGATGTCGAGAGAGGCTTAGAGTCCGAGTTTCCCAGCTCCGGGGCACGCACTAGCCCTGATACTGAAGGCGGCATAGATACTAAAAATAAAGGAGACGAAGGTACTAGCAAGACCCAAAAGCGCCGTCCTTTAAGTCCCCCAGGTTATTGCCGCACAAGAAAGGAATCAAAGACATCGAAGGCGGCCAAGCTAGGTGATGGAGTGGATGTATGCGCAGCATCTCCAGATGCCGAGACTGAATCTTCGTTACCAAAGGTTGAATGCAGAAAGAAGAACGATTTTTCATCCTCTTTTAGAGAATTGGCCTCGATTGAAGATTGTATGGAAATACTCGAGGCTATGGAGGATTTGGATGACGCCGCCTATGTTAGAGCTTGTGAGAGGTTTACGAGTTCGGATTGGAGGAGGATGTTCATGAAGATGTCTGATGCAAGGAAAAGAATGTGGCTGTATAGCCTAAAGTAAGTTTTTGGTAATGATATAGATTTTTCTTTAGGACAAGTGCTATAAGAAGTGCTAATTTTTATACTTTCCACTTTTGTTTTAACTTTATGAGTGGCAATTTCTCTCTTCCGGTCATGTTTCAACATATTTTGTGCAACTTCACATTTAATGACGGCAAAGTGATTTTTTTGGACGAAAAATTTAGAAAGAATGTGTAAATATGACGGTATGAGAATTGGCTATTTATAAATTGTTCAAGAAGAAAATCGATGAATATGAAAATTTTTGCGGAAAAGAAAAGAAATATTATAAAACAATGTATTGGCCCGAGGACGTTTCTGAAAGCAATTTGCAAATAAGGGTCCAAACATACCAATATTTAAGTTAATTTTTCTCTAGCATCACTAAATACACACTCACCTCTCTCCTCCACTCCTCTTCTGCAACTTTTTATTAGAACCAAAATGTGATTGTACAATTTTTTGAGAACCAAAATGTAATTGTACAATTTTTTGAGAACCAAAATGTAATTGTATAGAGAGTGAGTGGCTAATGTGCAATTTTGGATGAATCGATTCGGCTCCGTGTTGAAAAGTACAATTTTTTGAGAACCAAAATGTAATTATACAGAGAGTTGGTGTGGCTAATGTGCAATTTTGTATGAATCGACTTAGCTCCGCGTCGAAACGCTTTCTCGTACACAGAGTTGGTGTGTCTATTTCCCACTCCATCAGATCCGCCGGGAACCGCCGACGCCGAGTCAGTCTGAAATTCCCCACGTGGGTAAGCTCTCTCTCTCTCTCCCTCTCTCTCTCTCTCTCTCGTGTTAAAGCTTTAATCTTTGAAACTGAAACTATCAAAGCTGCAACAATGGCGACCAATGCACCACTCACTCTCCCTCTCGGATGCTCTGATCTCCGCCTTATATACCCGATATCGATGGCCACCGTTTATTTTCATCAGGTTCCCCCAACCCACTTTTCGAATTTCAGCCCCAACAACTCACCACAACCCTTCTAGTTATCTCTCTCTCTCTCTCTCTCTCTCTAAACTTCTTGTGAGGATACGATTACATTTGGGTTTGGTTTGATTTTAAATTATACTTTTAACGTTTTAGACTTTGAGATAATTAATTTTATGTATGGTTGAACTTGATCGGAAGACTAGTGCAAAACCGAGCGCAGTATCGTTCTAGGATCATACAGCCGATACAGCCGATCCCATCAGCGAGATAAAGCTTGGTTGTTGTTGTTGTATGGTTACTTGATCAATCAAACTACTTGCAATTAGATTTTGTGTTGTGATATATTTTGTGTTTCATGGACTTTAGCAGTCCTAATTGAACTAGTTATGAAGTTTTAGACTTTGTGCTTTTTAATCTCAACTGAACAACTTGTGTGTAGATTGTGTGTTGTGATATTCTTATGAGGCTAATGTACCTCTTCTGCATTAGTTTCCCACCCTTTGGCAGTCCCGTAGAACTTATGCCATGTCCTGAATATCATGTGTTTTCGAGACCGATGAATCATTCGTGTTGCACCATTGCGGTGGACTGCGAATTTTCGAAATGTATTGTTCTTTTTGCTTCCTTTCTTTTCCTTGTAATGCCATCGCCAGCTCAACCTCCACAGCTAAAATAGGAATTAGTATAGTAATTGTTTTAGATTGTAGTCGATGTTTGCGACAGCGTCTTGTTTTTTGCGTTAGACTTTCTGAATTTCAAACTGAGTTTTGTTACTAATCCAGTATATATGCATCTCTTGTTCCTGTGAGCATGTATATAGGTGTTTGTCTGCATGATGTTTTATGTTTACTTCATAGGCCGCACCGGAGCAGTAACTACATGTTTTTAGGTTTTTCTTAGCTAACTGATCATAAGCATGTGTTCAACAGTCCTCATGAAATATTCTCAGCACAAATGGGCTTTGCAGTAAATAGCACACTCGTGAAGTTCCTAGTGTTTTCTTGTTGTATAAGGGAAATTTCATATTTGTGCAGTCTTCGGTAAAACAGAATAATCACGTTAGCCGGGCCCTAAGCACTTCATACTTCACCCATTCCTACCAGGACTGAGCCAACAACCACTGCCTACCATCCGACAGACAACTAAAGTAAGTTTTGTTGTCCTCCTAATTTTTTGTTTTTGCTCTGTTTGTCAATTTAATTTTTCCTAATTTAACAGCTCAGGTTTTGAACGCGTCATTGAAGTCTCAATTGGTTTTTGCATCGAACCTCAAAGTCTATTTGGAGAAGCTCAATCTGATTTTTGGTTGGAACAAATGGGGCTTCTCAGCATTATTCGAAAGATTAAAAGAAGGAAAAAGAAATACGTATACTCATGGTTGGGCTTGACAATTCCGGCAAGACAACCATTGTGCTGAGAATTAATGGAGAGGACACCAGTGTTGTCAGTCCCACACTCGGCTTCAACATCAAGACCATCATTTACCAAAAGTATACCCTCAATATATGGGATGTCGGGGGCCAGAAAACAATAAGATCGTACTGGAGAAACTATTTCGAGCAAACTGATGGTCTGGTATGGGTAGTTGACAGTTCAGATCTTAGAAGGTTAGAAGACTGCAAAGCGGAACTCGACAATCTTCTGAAGGAGGAGAGGCTTTCTGGATCATCCTTGTTGATACTAGCAAATAAGCAGGACATAAAAGGTGCCCTTACTCCGGAAGAAATTGCCAAGGTTTTGAACTTGGAGGCTATGGATAAAACTCGGCACTGGCAAATTGTCGGCTGCAGTGCATTCACCGGTGAGGGACTGCTTGAGGGATTCGATTGGTTGGTCCAAGACATTGCCTCTCGGATCTATGTTCTTGATTAGTGCCAATTTTATGTCACTGGAAGGTAATGGGGATCACAATCCATGGATTGGCAGAATATGTTTCTTCAATTTGTTGTAGCAACGGAAGAACCCAAACGGAATCTTGAAGTGATCGGTAAGCAACAGCAAGACCGCGCTGTAATGAATGTCGCGAGACAAGCTATGTTTACATTTATATTATGTTGTCGATGTATCGGCCTGTTTGTGATTGTTTCTCACTAAGAGTTTTTATGAGACGATGTGTGTTTTAGTTAATGAGACGATGCTGTGTAGTAGTTCAAACGAGTGATTAGCATCGTATTAACTTATTAACCGTTTAGCGCTTGAGCGATATCTTAATTTATATAGTTTGGCAATGGGGAGATGAAAAATACGTCAATATGACCAAGCCGACCAACTGGACATTCCAACAACACTAAAAGGTCGCTTGGGTAAGCTCTTATGGGCTTTAACAATGATTTACGAGAACATAATTGGATTTTTCTATTTGGCCCACTCTGTTTGTTGCTTCAGTAGTGGACCCCATCTGTCATTTAGTGCACGAAGCTTCTATAGTCTTCTAATGCGTAGAGATTTTTTTAGTCTGTCGGAAATATGGATTAATGCATCATATATAATTATACAAGCGGTGACATATTTGCAATTTTTTTTTCTCTACTTGTATATTTACATGTGATGTAGACCTGTGTTCTAAATACATCGACAAATCTCTTCCAAACGCGAGAGCGTAGGTCCAGTTGGGCCCGTCTAACTTTATGGACTGATGGTTACTATGAAATGGAGCTGCCATTCTTTGGTTCACTAGAGAAATTACAAGTGGTTTCTGCACACTCGTTTCATCTTTTGTACATCTTATTTAATATTAGTGTCACATTGCATGCGACTGATGAATATGTCTTTTATAATAATGTATTATGAATAAAATGTGTCATTTATGCGATGAATTGTTCTTTTAGTTAGGACATTATTTCTTTTATTCAACTTAATGTGTCTCGAGTTCAAACTCTTTGATAACTTCGAGTAATATCATCGCCAGTAATAATAATATAGACCAATACTATAATGTAAATAAAGCTATGATTAATTTAGAATTTGGGATTTGCCATGCTTTTGAATATCTTTCGTGACGGCGTAAGAGGGTGTTACACCATGACCATGCTTTCTTATTCCATTGCCTTTGTTTAATCTTGAATGACACCTACACCTACAAAATTCAACTCACTAATTAATTAATTCGACTTCTTGTTTTCTTCTCTCGTTTCTGCTTCCTAATTTTGAATTATTTCGTTGACTGTTGTGCATTATGCAGCTACCTAAGCCGCCTTCTGTAAGAAACTTCTCATTGTATATTCCATATGCCATATATACTTTTCTATTTGTTAAATAATGACCTTCAGTTATTATTAAAGCGCTTTTTTTTACGGTGTAAAAGCACTTATTTGATTGCATATCAAACAACAAGTGTTACTGACAAAAGCGCTACTGAGTAAAAACGTTTTATAAAAAAGCATATCTAATCGTGTTTTATATACCTGAATCATTTTTCTTAATTGTCACACCATCACGTGATGTAATAATCCACTGATAGATTCACTCCACCCTTCTTTAAGCAATATATACACCCCATCTACATATTTGAGTCTTAATAACACACACACACACACACACATAATACATACCCTTAACTATTTACAAAAACATATAAAATGAACATGGCCTTCTACGTCCTTGTCTTTTCAGGACTTCTTTGGGTCATGCCTAATGTTTAGGGGGAGACAGTTGACCTAATTGGGGTCATATCATTCCAATGCCCTCTCCTTCCTTCCATTAGTCATCTCAAATTGCCATTATAACATATGTGACACATAAGAATTTCCTCACATTTAACTATTTATTAAAACATTAGCAGTCCGAGTATTTAGGCAAACGACGGTGCCGTTCTATGTAGGGTATGAACTTTTCAATTGCTCAGAACAGGTGAAGACGTATATTGCTTTGTTATCTGTAATCCAGGAAGTGTAGTTTAGCTCGTCTAATTTTCTATGACTCGAAACAAGTTTTCTCCCTTAGGTCGTAACCATTTTCATTACTAATATATTGTAATTTTTTCCTATAAAAACTGCTAATTAAGAATTGGATTAACATAAAATGAGTAAATGACAGTGTACAATGTGATTAAGGTAACTAATAGCCTGGCTAGTGTGGTAACACCAATTAAACACCCACCTATGCTAATAAGTTTGGTGTAATACTTTTGGTTATTTGGCTTAAACAATGTTGTATCTATTTTTTTGACAAACGATAGCATTAGTGGGTTAAATTGTTAAATGCTAAGGGGAGGATGATCGGTAGGATCAAATCTGCACTAGAGTGCATAAGCATTATCACTTTTTGCCATTGTGATAAAACGCCATTGCAATAACACTTTTGAGCTTATTGATTATGTTTAATGTAATGATGGAGTATTTGCTCTAACTTGAAAGGGAAAGAGTATTGCCCGGTGGAAAGGGGGAAAAGGCATTGCTTGCTTCAAATTGAAATCTTCATCCAGCTTGGCTCATAAATAAATATATGATTAATTAATAATGCATTTGGCAAATACTTGATGTGCATGGCATTTGTGTTTTCCTCTAAAGCGTTCCCTCACTTGCTAAGCCAGGTCAAACATGCATATGTGAACTAAGAATATCTCAAAATGTGTATCAAAAGTAAAGAAAATCAAATTCACTAAAATAGTAATATTTAAATAAAGTTCAATTTATACAGATGGGTGTGTAGTTAAGTTGGTCAGAGCAGTGCTATTCATACACTAATTTTTACTTCTCACACACCTCTTAATTTTCAGCTATCGGATTGAATAAATTGAATATCAATAGCAAAAAATTAACAAGAATCTAAAAAGAATACAAATGAGTGTGTGAATAGAAGTTTTTACGATGAACTAGCAGATTGCTGAATAGAAAACCTCATAATTAGGGGATCTCAATGAATTTGCTGAATAGAAAACAAATTCTTTAATTTTTGTTAACTTAATTTGTTTGGTGTAACCTGAAGATATAGCTAGTAAGATGTTAGCAGCACTGGAATTTGGATTGAGAAATAATATTAATCCGAGGTTAATATTATCTACTACGTACATAATACCTATTTAATTACTCTAGCACGGCACATATTGGCTTGTATTTCTAATTATGGTGAATCAAACGATGGTAGTCAGAAGGAGCCTGAAATGCATTTATGATTCTTTTTATTTTCAAAAAAGATGAACTGTCATGATGAAATCATCAACTGTTTTTTTTTTTTTTTTTTAAAAAGTATTTGTAAGCACGTATAAGAACTATATATTATATTGTTTTGTTTTTATTTTATGTAATAAATCAGCAGAGGTCAAGCCGTCCAAATGAATAACAGTAATCAAATATTGTATGTAACATGCTCAAGCATGCGGGCTTTGCTTGCATATAAATTATAATATGATATTTTGATCAAAAACGATTTCACAATTCAATTTTGTGACAAACCACCAAATCATACGATTCATATACGTTTACAAAACGGGGCGTTTGATATAGGTGCCTCGTTTTTTAATTTTTTAGACTAAACATACACTCCTTTTGAAAATTTGATCAAGCATTTTCTTAAAATTTTGGTTATTAATTTCAGTTTTTCACATAAGTTTATTTTGTTTAGAATTTTAGTTTTTCACAACTTTTCCTAGACATTTCGTTTTTTTTTTCTTTTCCTCTTATCCCTATATTTATGCATTTATTATCCATCTCTATGCATTTTTTTTATTGTTTGTTATAATTTTATTCTTTTTTTTTTTGTGAATATAGTAGAATATTTATAAAAAAAAATTGTTAGATTTTATTATTTAGAAGACCCAACACATAATAAAGATTTGTTTGATTATATAGCTACATCTAGTTACCTATAATATGGACACATTTAGTTTTATAGTGGATTTGATTTTTTGTATTTCTCGGTACATTTGGAATGTAAATGTACCAAAAGGTTATCAGATAGAGACATTTAGTTTTGTGGTACATTTGTGATTTTTTGTTCATTTGGTCTTTTGGTACATTCGGAATCTAAACGTACCAAAAGGGTTACCTGACAGTGGGCACATTTAGTTTATCTATACATTTGAAATCTAAACGTACCAAAAGGGTTACACAACAATGGGTACATTTGGTTTTATGGTACATTTGGTTTCTCGGTACATTTGAAATCTAAACGTATCAAAAGTCAATACTTTTGTTCTCAACTGTACCATAAGTTTTAAGTATATTTTTTATATATCTATACGTGAAAAAATATATATTGAAGACTTTATTGAGACATTTTTAATAGAAAGAGATTTTTTTTTTTTTTTAAATACTGATAATAAGGTAATGAGGAATTAGTTAATTAATTTTTTATTTTATTTTATTAAAAAAAATGTCATTTAATGTGTAGAAGGGGACTGACGAAATTAAATTCCTATATTGTAGTAGGCAATTAGTTGCTAAGTTACCTTATGCCTCTATATAAATGCATTTAAATTAATGACATGAAAATTAAATAAATAGAAAATTATTGAGGTGGCAATTGATCAAAGCACCTTAATCAAATCTTTAAAAGGGATGAATGTTTAATCTAACAACTATAGAAAAGATGTAGAGCATTCTAATTTTCCCTTACAAAACCCCCACATGCAAACCCAAACACATGCAGACAAACGCATGTTGTATGTTTTAGTGAGAGTCAAAATGAAATTAATGGTAGACTAATTTCTTTTTTGTACGATTGATCGATGTTTTACACTAAATTTATCTATACTACGTATAAGATAATACAAATTTAAATGCATAAAAAAGAACATTGCTACAACCAATTTAGCTAAAACATTTCTACTTGGTAAACCATTGAATGTAAAATATCACGAGGTTGCAGCAAAGTACTGAATTTGTGAGCCTTCGTACAACTATGTGGTAGTTTTATATATTAAGATTAATTTGTTACTTGTTAGGTTTAGAAATGTAACACCGGTACATGATGTACAAATTCACTCAATTTGTAATATATATTTGTTTATTATAAAATGAGACATAATCATATCGTCTATTGATCATATTATAACATGTGGAAAAATACCAGACTAGTACGTTTTAGATGTATAGATATTTCTTTCACAAATCTTAGAGGGGGCAAAAAAAACTTTAGGTCATGCAACCAAATTACGAGAGATTTTTTAGTGTACTCGTAACACAGGCTATACGTCATAAATCATTATATAAATGGTGGAACACGAGAAAAGAAAAAAAAAATCTTTCTCCACTACGTAT